GAGAACCGCCAAGCCCATCAGACTTTGACCCCGCAAGAAATAAACCTTTGTTTTTCTAAGTCACCGGGATTCGGGGGCTTATTTGGTACTGTAACATCGGCCTGCCCCCGTCCTGACAGAGACGGAGTCGGGCCTGGCCTTTAATCCTGGTTGATCCCTTATGAACTGTGTGGCCACAGGCAAGTCACTTTCAGTCTCTGTGGGGACAATACTATCGAATTCCGGGCTGTTGTGAGAATTCGATGAGAAAATGCATGTGAAATTCCTGCCAGCTTTGCGTAGTATATACTATGCCATTTAATACTCATCTTGCAGATTAAGAAACTAAGGCTTGAAGAGGTCAGGTTTCCCTCCCCCACCGTCCTCCCCAAGTCACACAGCTACTAAATCCCAGGAGTGCCCGGGAGAAGGATTGGAGGGGGCGGCCAGTAGAAATTCCAAGGTCTGGAGGCGCAGGCGGCCGGGGCCAGCTGCTCTGCGTGGCGGAACGAAGCCATGTGATGCTCGTCAGACGGCTCACGCTCGCTTGGGGCTTTGATCTTTGCCAACGGGGCCCAGACTTCTCTTGACCTATTTTCTTGGCCGAATAACAGAGATAAAAATCTCCCTATCTGGACAGTGTTGGCCGTGTTACTAAGATCAAGTCCTTTTAAGATCTGACCTTATACGTGGCTGCGTCGTGCCTTTTCTCTTGTGCTTTCAAACTGTGCCTGGGTCCCAACCAAACCCTGCGCTGAAAGAAACCTGGCAGAAGGTGGGTCTGCCGCGCCCTCTGGTGGCCACCGTCACCAGGTGCTCGGGTCAGCGCTCTGGCCAAGGCCCGAATGACCCCTTAGAGGGCCTGCTCTACCACAGGGAACCAGCCCCTCATCTCCAACGTGCTTTGGTTTGGAGCAAAGCTGTCCCCTGTCCCCTGTCCCCATCCCGGCTACGCCCCAACTCAACCTCCTTGAGGCTGTTCACTGTCTAAATTCTCCCCTAGAGAGAGGAATGCGTCTTGGCAGGATGCTGCAGGATTAAATGGCATCATGTAGGTGCAGCACTCAGCCTGTGCCGGTGGCCCGGGAAAGGGACCGTGGGCATTGCTAACAGACTCTCTTTCTGCGGGGGTGCTGCCACCGTCTGGCTGTTCGCTTGTCTCCCCAGTCACTCAGACCTTCCAGTGGCAGAGACCTTGTCTTGCCCATTGTTGGGTCTCCAGCCCCTGGTGGCCCTCAGGGCACATTTGTCAAATGAAACATGTATGCAGAGTGCGTCAGCTCGTCCCGGTCCTGCGAGGCAGGCGAGCCGGGATCCCCCGTTCCTCTTTGCAGAGCGGGTCTGTCTCTGGATTCAGGCCTTGGGTGCTCCTGATCCAGCCACGGCCTCCCCGTTGGGGGCTTACAAAGGGAAGGCATCCCCCAAAGCTTCAGAAAGGCCAGTCCCGGTATTACAAAACATCAGGGAGGGCGTTCTCAGAATGCTCAGGCACTCGCGGGAGCCGCGCCTGGGTGTCTTTGGCTCTGAAGAAGCCCCCAGGACATTCAGCTTTCCACAGCAATAGGCTCGATGGAAACACCCCCAAGGGCTCAGAAGAGGGGTTTCTGATCCCGTCACTTAGGGTCCTCTGTGCAGGAGGAGCTTGTCACTGTGTCGTCACAGGGAGGCCCCGGCCCCACAGAGGGCCAGGCTGCTTTCCTGACCTGCGGAGCATGCCAGGGGGTCCTGGGGGTCCACAACTACGCCCCCGACAACATCCTGGCCTACGGTCACTTAGTCCTGCTCCAACAGCAGTGTGGGGGAGAACTGCGTCTTCACCAGCCACGTGGACATTTCTGGGCGTTTCTGTGCTGCTCGGCCACCTGGCTGCTCCACTTTTCTGTGTTTTCTGCCACGGCAACCACCATTTTGCTGCCTGCGTCCCCTCGCTCGCAGCAGCCTTTGCAGATTGGTGAGCATGTTTTTACCCAATGTGTACGCTTGTCCCCCGTGGCCTTGGGTCTCCTTGGAGCTCATGTGAAGCGCCAGCCTCCAGCCCCCGGCTGTGGGCTGCTCACTCACTGCTTCTCCCCGTTCCCTACACCCTTCGGAGCTGCCCCAGCTTGGACACCTTGCTCAGACAGCGGTGCCCAGGCTTCCCTGCCTTCCAGCCTCCAGCAGTTTCTGTGAGGACTGTGTCCTGCCACCCACAGGACTCCGCTCACCAGGCCTGCGCCTCCCGCCTTTCCTCCCTTGCTACCCGGCTTCCACGGGCACGTGCTCCCTGCAGTCTGCCCCTCCCCAGGCTCTCCCAGTACACCCTCTGGAGGCCAGCAGTCCACCTCCATCCCTGCACCTTGCACAGTCGAGGCCCCTCTAAATTCGTCGTCTCCAACCTCAGCTAGGCCCTGCGCCTGGCCACCAGCTGCCTCTGTCCTCACAGCCGGCTCACTCCAATTACCCACAGGAGACTGTCCTCAATTGTTCCCTGCTTCCTCCTTCCTCCTCCTCACCTGCAGGTTACCCCCACCCCTGCCACCCCCGGCCCATGGGGAAATCGAAGCTGTCAGATGACAATAATCTCACCCTCCTGCCACCAAAGCTGCCTGCCTCCGTGTCCCCAACTGGCCCCTCACCATCCCCTTGTGATGGAGGCGAGGGTCCCTCCTGCCTCTTTCCCCTTTGGGGCCCTCCTCCTCCTCTCTCCTGCAACATCTGTGCCTTCCTCTCTCCACCAGCTCCTGGCAGCAGCAAAGGCTGCTCTAGTCCCTTTCGAAGACAAAGCAGCCTTCCTCGAACATAAGAAGACAAATGCTCCCCTGTAACCCCGTCCCTCCCCCCCACCCCGCCTCGGCCCTTTCTTCCTCCCTGTCAGCCACTGGAGGAGCCCCTCCCTCTCCACATGCTGGTCTCGGGGGCTCCAGGGATCCCAGCCTAGTTTTCACCCCATCCCCCACCAAGCCCACTCTCCACTCCCACCCAGGCCATGTCTCAGATGGCTTCTGTCCCTTAGAAAGGGGTGGGCCTCTGAGTACGCACACACACACACACACACACACACACACACACACACACACACACACACACAATTTCCTTTTGTGACATGAAGACCATGAGTGAATCCTGCTGTGAATAAGCCAACCACCGAACGCATCCAGAGGACAAACAGGGAGGCCCCCATGGGGCCACTCGGCCCCTGCCAGGTGACACTGCGGTGGGTCGGGCAGGGCGGCCACATTGCAGAGCTGCTCACTCACACTCGGGGCAAAGTGGCATCTGAGGCTCATCCCTAAACGCCAGGGAAAGTCAACGATGGAGAAGCAAGGAAGAGAAAATGAGGGCCTACGTGGAAAACACTAACGGCGGCTGAATCTACAGGACGGGATGACGGGTCACTCCACTCGCCTTCCATCCCCGAGCGCATTTAAGCATCCTTCAGAAGGAAGGAAACTATTATAGACAGCTCCCACTCAGGAACTGCTTTTTAGTCCATCTCCCCTTTGCTACCTATCAGGCACGTGTTGGGGGCGGCCGAGGGGCGTTCCTCGGACTTCCCCGGTGTCCCCAGGACCAAATCCCCAGCGTCTGCTTTGGGTAGTGGTACAGGTGGGGTGCAGAGCAGGTGGGCCTTGGCCCTGGCCCCTGGAGCCGGGCAGGTGCTGGGGCGTCCTGAATGTCTTTAGATCCTTGGGGCTCTCTGAGGTGGGACCTCGCAGGGGCTCTGGCCTGAGACAAGGGGGCGACAGAGTGGCACCTGGAGCCCCATGAGCTGTCCCCGGGGCCGCTCGTGGTGTGGTGCCACCTCGTGGCCGCCTGTCCATATTGCGTCTGTAATGTGAGGCCAACCAGGAGAGAATTTGGGGGTGTTAGCTCCCCCAGAGAATGGAGGGGGGAGCGTGACAATAGATGAGAGCAGGGCCGTCTTAGGGACGTGATGGGGCAAGGAGAAAGGGAACTGTGGAGTTGAAGAAACCACCCGGAGGAGAGGCAGAGGCAACATGAAGGCCCAGGCAGTGGGGCAGGGCAGGCAGAGGTGGCTGGAGAGAGGGGGAAGGGAGTAAGAATCACACTGGGTTCCGCACCGGAGCCTCACTGTTCATTTCAGTTTTGCAGAGAGCGCCTCTGCCCATGTGTTTGATTTAATAATAGCTAACGTGTGTTGGAGGCTTACTGTGCGCCAGGCTCCTCCGTAAGCCCTTTGCATGTGTTAACTCATTTAGTCCTCGACGTGTTTATGTGTAGGCATTACGTCATCCCAACCTTATCCGTAAGGAGATCAGACACAGGGATGTTAAGTAACTTGTTTTAACTCACACAGCTAATGAGCAGGGTGCTGGCAGCCGGACTCCAGGGCACCTGTGTGACTCTGCACCATCCGGCACGGGGGCTGCCTCCAGAGGGTCACCAGAGACAAACGGATGAACTCAGGGCTGGGAGGCAGCAGAGCAGACAGGACGCCCGACCTGGAGAGCGAAGCCCTCCTTGGTTTCCTGCACCTCTGTCCCCATCCATCCCCAGCCTGCAGGGCTGCTGTGAGAATTCAGGATCATGCCCAGGGAGGTGTTGTACAGACTGTAAAGTGCCGTGCAAATCGGGAGGTGCCATCACTATTTATACCATTTTTACATTATAGAGTCCCAATAATGGGTTTCCAGATCCGTTAAAAAACAAAAAACAAAACAAAACCCCAACTGGAAATCAGTGCCAACTTTGGACCAGACTCGTGTCTATCCCCTGGTGTGCCCCCCTCTGCTGGGGGAGGACAGACACCAGCCCACAGAGGTTCAGAGGTTAGGTGACTCCCTAGTTACCCAGCAGGGAACGGCATGGCTGGGTTTGAGAAGAGGACTCTCCGAGGCCTACGCTAAGGCTCCGCTCTGTCTCCTGAACCTCTGGGCACCGGTGTGGGGGCACCAGCCCAGGAGGCCCCCTGGAGATGAAGTGTTGAGCCATTTTAGGATGGAAAACATCCCTTGAATGGAAGCGGCAAGAGAGAGGCAGCACTAGCGCTCGGCCCTTGTAGAAAACAACACACCCACCCAAACGATAAAATAGCTCTTTTTTAATTCACTTTGATTCAGGTCATTGGAAATATTCAACAATAAATAAAACAGAGCAGGGGCTGAGGAAAGTAGACTGTCGCTACCATCATCCGAATGCACCCAGATCAACGCTTGGCTGCAGAACGGAGAGAGGCGAGCGGGAATAGAAAGCAAATTTTAAAACACCAACAACCAAACACACAGGTCTGCGAAGAGGAAAAAGTGCTCAGGAAACTTTGGCTTTGGAGGGAATTTGGGGACGTGCTAAAGCGATTGTGCAGGAGGAAGGGGATGAACCCGCCACCACCCCGACGGGGAGGGGTCCCTGACGCAGGCTGGGGTTAAAGCTGACGTCCCAGCTCAGGACTGGCAACCGATGGCAGTTTTAGGATAGAAGCTGGGTGACAGCGCTGGGTTCCACACCAGTGCGGATGGCCCGACGGGCTCTGGCGGGAAGAACGGGAGGTGTGGAGCAGGCTGGCTGCCTGCAGGAAATTCAGTGCTCTTTTGGTAGGAAAGTAAGAGTTGCTGATGCCCTGACCCCCACATGCCGTGAGATGCTGCTTGGCTGGACTCTGGTTCTCCTCCTCCCTCTCCTTTTCTTTGCACAGTGTCAGGTAGGCACCAGGGCCGTAAGAGCTGGTGCTTTCGTGCAAACAAGAAGCGGGAAGTTGACTCTATCTCAGAACCGCCTGGCCCAGCCCACAGGACAGGATGAGGCTGGTGGCACGTGGCCGGGTTTGCAGCGACCCAGATGTCCACCATGAACATGGCGACGTCCCCGAGCTCTTCAGAGGGGCGAGGACAGTTGCTGGTTCCTGATGGCACATGGCAGGTGTCCAGACATCTTTAGCTGGACACTGGCCACCCGGGGCTGGGGCTTCCCTGCAGGAAGTATTTTTGATCATGTGAGGGAGAGTGGGTTTTCTGAGTTTCCACCTTGTTTTTCAAGCTAGCTTGAAGAGAACAATTAAACAAATATCCCAGCTCTCGTGCAGCAAACCGTGTGGGCTGGGATTAGTGGGAAAAGCCAAGTACAAGAAAATAAAACAAAAAATAAGGAAACCAGACGAGGCGGAGACGGCAGTTGAGATCTGAGCGATTCTGGCACGGAAGGGCCCGTGGCGAGGCACAGCCAGGAAGGCTTGGCCTCTAGCGCCCCCTTCTGGCCACAGCGGAGACTGAGATTCCGTAAAAGAACCACCCAGATCTTAACTGCCTAATTCACCTTGTCTGGATTCCCCATTTTTTATGTTTTATGAACTCAGTTCTCCTCTCAAATTCCTTCATGAAGCCAGAGGTTACAAACCTTCCCTCCCTTCTCCCGTAACAGGTGGGAGAGGGCAGGGGAGGGGCATGTGGTTCCAGCTCTAGAGAATCCACCTCCTGGCTTGCTGGGGGAACCCCGGAGGCTGGGATGTTGCTGAGATCTCACGGGCCAGCCTCATCAGCCCCTGCCTTTGCACCTTCAGGCTCAGCGCTGTGTGCTACGGGCAGGGACCTTTCTGCTCCCTGCCTAGAGCCCAGGGCTGGTCTCCAAGGGGCTCTCTGCCTGCAGAGTGGACAGAGCCCTGGACTGGAGTTCAGGAGCTAGAGGGAGTACCCTGCCATTGCCTGCCTAGCATGGGTCCTTCTTGTCCTCCTGCTGACGGCACAACCAGTGCCCTTTGGGAAACACTCTTGTCTGGTTCTCAGCCACCTTCACCCCAGGTATGGGTTCCACATGGCTTGCGTCAATTGGTGCATCTAATTCTGGCCACAATGACTGGCTTTTATTCGGGTAAGTACCACTGCTAAGTCAGCAAGGCACAAGAGAGTCCGCTGGGCTATGGGAAAGAGAAATGCTCTCTCCTCTGCTGGAGGGTACGGCATGAGAAGGCAGAGACGAGAGCTTGCCCACCAGGGTCGCCTGCGGGTGGAGCTCGGTGCTGAGAGAGCAGAGCAGACACCTACATGACGGTTACACTTTTTCAAGATGCTGGATGGAGTCTCGCTGGGAAAGCCTACCTCTGGACAATTTAAACGTGGAGCAAATAACACCCTATTTTTGCTCAAACTCTGACTTGTGCCGTCATCATCAGATTACTATTGCAAGTCACTTCTCTACTCTAGGCCATACTTTTCTCGGTGTAAAATGAGAGCTAATGTGGTAGGCTGGAAGGTATCCCACAGCCTGAAGATCCTAGTGGGAGGAAGAAGAGCAGACCCAACCCAGACAGCCGCCAGCTCACGCACGGACACTTCACTTCGGGGGACCTGGTCTTCATCAGTAAAACCCAAAGCAGATCGCTCTACTGAACCCGTCAGCCCCAAACAGACTCAGCTTCCGGGAGAAGGGGAAGAGTTCCAGAGTCAACACGACCCTCTGTATCAGTGTCCATGTGACTCAAGTTTGTCCCTGGGACTAATTAGCCACCCGCCGACATTTGCTGAGTCTTCCATGTCAAGCAGGGCTGTGAGCCTCGGAGGGGTATGACTTCAGAGTGAAGACTCGCAGCGACACGCCAGCCTGTATCAGTCAAGAAAGCCTTCGGTTTGGGAGGCTTTTAAAGCTGAAACAGGTTTGTTTGTTTGCTTAACACTTCCTGGATTCTGAATATGTGAGAAGGTAATAAAAGCTATGGAAACTTTCCCCAGAACCATGCTCAGATGCACAGAATTCAGGGGGAAAAAAAAAAAAAACGAAGCAAACTTGGCATGCAATTTTTGGGGACTCTTCTGAATGGCCTGAAGCCATCTGTGACCCCTGACTGAGGCTCCTGAGCCCCCATAATTCCTTCCACCCAGTGGGCAGAGGGGGATTCTGAGCCAGGGGGAGTGGGTCCCCTGACTTCTGAGATTGCACCCTGAAAGTTCACGCCTCCCCAAAGCAGCAGTGGCCTTTCAGGAAATGTTTTCAACAGGAAAAGTGGTTTTTCTGATGAAGCCTCAGAACTACAGCCAATAATCGCTGTCCTCTTCTGCCTGCCCCATTCCCCACCCGGCCACAACGAGGTTTCACTGAGTTTTGGACACTCCCAGCCTGAGAACGACGCCAAATCCACGACAAGGAGGAAGGAAACTGGGCTGGAACGGGAGGGCAGTGCAGGCACTCCACAAGTGACCAAGGGCTGATGCCACAGGATCTGCCCGCCTGTCGGCCCCGAGCAACACCCCAAGTCCGAGAATTCCTACAAGCCTCCCTTTCAGCACCCCTTCCCCTGCTGCTGGGTTGGGCAATAGCGAGCTTAATTAAGACCCCAGGACCAGCAACAGGGCCAGGGTGCCCACAATGTCAGTTGAATTAAAAAGAAAATAAATCAATAAATAATCAGGAAGGCTGAGGAGAAAGGGTAGCAGGAGAGTGAGAAGATGAGGTAAGTGCAGCCACCATTCTTGGAGGCCCCCACCCAGACCCCCGACACCCCAGAGGTAGCCAGCAGGGACATGGCCCAGAGCTCAGGCCCTTGGGGAAAATGCTGTTGGAAGCCCCCTGTGTGGCCTTGGAGGTTACAGGCACCAAATCCAACAGTCTAAGAAAATAAGGGTGTATTCCCTGGCTGATGTGCCCCTGGGTGGCTGTGAGTGTCATCTGAGCTTTATTCCAAATTGGGCACTGTCGCAGGAATCTAGAAAAGACGTTCCCAGCTCTGGAGCAGGGGGGGGCCGTTGGTGGGGGCCCCCTTTCCCGAGTAGGAGCTTTTGCCTCATTTCAGCCAATGCATGCATTTCCTCCCCAAACACAAAGGCACATGGAAGTAGGCAGAGCTGCTCTTGGCCATGATTATAACCATGGAGATTGATTGCTCAAGGGAACATCTGCTTAGGAAGAGACATCTGCAGGAGGGAGAAACATGCTGCCAAGTTTCCATGAAGATCTTGGGGGTGGGAAGTCTCTCCTGGCCATGATAAATGAACTCTGGGAAGAAAGGGATGAGAGGGTTATCACACCAAGTGAGAGGCCAGGCTTCGTGCAAAGAAGGGTGGCACTGTGCCCCCAGCACCTGCGTGGCCCGACGTGGCTCTGTCCTGGAGGTAATCATCACTCAGAAACATCCCAGTGGGGGTCAGAGCTGGAGAGTCAGCCCTGGACCCCCGGGCAGCAGCAAGTCTCTCTCCCCATCTTTCCTGGGAAGCCTCCTGTCGATTAGAATATGGGAGTGTTCAGATTCGCCCCCCAACCCCATCCCAGAGGCCAAAATGATTTTAGTGTTTGGAGACTGAAGCTTCCCCAGAGTCTCCCCAGCCCTGGGACAGCAGTGGGAGGAAACTCTCCCCACCCAAGACAGGTTCTGAAACTTGCTCTGCAGTCTTGGCGGAGATCGGCGACCTTGCTGAGTGGAGGCTGCAGAAGGCTGGGGTGCAAGAGGCTGCAGGAGGCACCTGGGCACACCCCTGGGGCTGGCTCTCGAAGCTCCTGGGCAGGATGGCTCCGGCGAGATGCTGGAGCTGGAATCCAGAGGCGTGATGGCGCGTCCATCCTGAACCCTTCTCGGCGTCATCTCCCCTTGAAGATCCGGATTTTGTTGATGGATGCCAAGGTGGCCGTCACGTTGGACTCAAAGTCTGCATCATGCACCCCTGTCTTGCGAAAAGCCCCTGCTGACGGGTTGTTCTCCCAGTAGTGGTGCCAGTTCCCTTTGCTGTCTGCCCCGAAGCCATACAGGTCCACCTGTGGGGGCAAAGCAAAGGTGAGAACCAGACGCAGGGCCACAGGTGGCACCTCTAGGAAAAGAGCCTGCAGGTAATCCTGGAATCCCATGCGACAGTAAACGCCACTTCCGAGGACACAGGAAATCCCTTCTCTAGGTTCTGGAACTCCCGGGGGCTTGGTGAAGCAAAAGCAAGTTAAGTGAAACTCAGTCCAATGCCAGGAGGCACCCTGGAGGTTAGGGCATGTGGGTGGTCCTCAGGAGGCCGGGCCTCACCTCCGCGGCAAGTGCAACCTGTTCGCCAAGGCTTGAGGAGCCACAGAAGGCAGCGTGGGAAGGAGGAAGTGGAGTGGAGCCAAGCAAACGGCCCAACCCCAGCTCTGCCACTGGCACAGTGCCCTGGGCACGTCAGATCATTTCTCTGAGCCTTACTTTGCTCATCTGGAAAACGGGACCAATAATCACAATGACAACAAGGCAGCTGGTAGGTGTGGACCCTTTCTTCCCTGAGGCCAGCAGCCATCTGGTCCAGGGGCCCTTCACACATGTGACAGGCACTGACTGAGCACTCATTCTGTGCCAGGCACTGTGCTGGACGTATCAAAGTCCAGGCAGACCTTCCTCGGGTGTCACCTGGGCTGGTGCTGAGGAAATTGGGGACACACAAGTCAGATCTCAGCCTTGGAGCTTAAAAGTTTATGGCAGTCAGTCATCAGCTGAGTGGTCATTGGAGGCACAAGGGCTAAATTCAGGGCTCCCTCAGCACAGAGGAGGGAAGGGCTGGTGCCTCGAGAGTAAGTTCTTCCCAGGAGGTGACATTTCGGTTGGGTCTTCGAAAATGAAAAGATGACCAGGAAGGGACACTGGGAGGGGCTTCCAGGGAGAGGACATGCTGTCTGGGCTGTGGTGTGGAGGACAGATTTGAGGGGTGGGGACAGAGCAGGAGCAGGGGACAGCTCCGTGCCACATGCAGCTTCCTCAGTGAATGCACCACGGACTGAGGCCCACCCCAGAGCAGGAACGTTAGGGTTGGACGGGATGAAGACACGGGAGAATATTTCTGAGGGAGAACCCCGAGGGGTCTGTGATCAGCTGGCTGGAGGTGGGTGGGGTGAGGAGATGACGGGGGGCTCACATTTCTGCGTGGGGACACCAGAGGAGGGCGAGACACCAACCAAGGCCAAGACCACAGACCCGCCTTGCAGTGCCATGGACCCCTTCCTGGGATTTGCAACCATGAGCCGGGTGGGCCTGGGCTGGGCCAGGTGTGACAAGAAGGGACACCTGAACGCCCTGCCTGAACCCAGGGCCAGGGAGGAGGTGGGGGCGGGGTGGCCCACCCTCCTGCTCCCCTCCCCAGGGCGGCAGCAAGCCCCCCTGATCACTGATGGAAACCAGCACAGAGCCCGGGGTGGGAGGCACATCCTCGAGGAGAAACGCAAGCTTCTCGAGATCACTGGTTCTCAACCTCGGTGGGTCGCGGGACTCTTGGGTGCCTGGTTCCCAGACAGTCTGGTGACATGGGGCTGGGGTGTGGCCTGGTGCTGCAGTTTAGCCCCACAGATGATTCTAATGAGCAACTGAGACTGAGGACCGTGGCCTTAGACAACCTGCCCATTTAGAATCCGCTCCTTTGTTCTGTGGCCACGTCGGAGCTTCCACCACCCATCGTCCTGGTTCTGTCGTGGGCACTTGCACAGAATGTGCAGAACTCATGCTCCTGAGAGCTTTCTCACGGAGCACTGTCACTCGCTAAAACACCCCAGGGGACACGCTTCACAAGCCCCATCGCAGAGATGGGGAGTCTGGGCTTCCGGAAGAGACGGGCTGGCCTGCCTGCCCACCCTGCCCCCTGCCTTTCTTAGGAACATGGACCGCAAGCCCCGTCCTCCAGGCAGCCCGGCGGGCAGGGGGAGGGTGACGTACCTCGTCACAGACGTGCATGGAGAAGATGACGGAGAGGATGCCGGTGGACGGGTACCGCCCGTGGCCCTGCAGCCAGCTGTCGAAGACGTACTTGATGAAGGCCGGGTGGTAGATGAGGATCTGCGGGGAGGGGAGGGCGTGGCCCTCAGTGAATTCTGGTGGGCAAAGGACACGGAGCACCCATCAGGTGCCACACACTGCCACGGCCCTGGGACACAGCCGTGGACCTGAAAAACGCCCTGCCATCGCGGGCCCCCATGCTGGTGGGAAGAGTTGGGCACTCCCCGCTCCGCTGAGACAGGGTGCTGAGGGGACACAGACGACAGGAGGAATGGAGCAGAGGAGGCCCCCCAGGACTGAGAGAAAACTGGCTGGGGTGAGGCTCAAATACAAATCCAAGGAGGCCAGGCAGTGGGACGAGAGGCCACTCAGGAGAAGGGGCTCCAGGGAACAACTGTGGCGCTGCAGGAAACACACGCAGCCACCCCCTCTACCCGGCACTGGCTGGAGTCACTGCGGATCCCAGGTTTCCCTCTCCTCGTCTTACAGATGAGAAAACCGAGGTTCCGAGAGGGGAGGTGACATGCTCAATGTCACACAGCCAGTAGCGGCTGAGCTGGGAGCGGTCCCGGTGTCAGGCTTGGTCTTGATCCACCACCAAAGGCTGCCTCGAGGACAGTGACAGGGACTTCTCAGGCAGTAGAGGGCGTGCACCTCCAGCAAGCCAAACTCCAGCCCGGACTGGAAGCGTGATTTATGCAGATCTCTGGTCAACTGTTCATCACTCAGTCTGGCCTCGAGGTGCTGCTGTGTCTGGGAGGCCCCCCTTCCACCAGCCCCGCCCTATAAGTCACACCTGTGGCTGCTTCCCTGTGGCAGTGTGGCCCAGTGCAAAGGGCAGGGTGCTGGCGGCACAGGGAGACTTCGGTTCTAGCCCTGTCATGGACGAGCTCTGTGTCCCTGGCATGTTACCTGACCTCTCTGAGCCTGTCTAATTCTCACGGTGTGTGCAAAGGGCCAGTAAGGTGGGCACGTCACTTCCCTCCTGCTCTTCACCCATCTCTTGGCCAACCCATCCCAGGGGGCCCACTGGGGAAGACAAAGGCAGAAAAGACATGGAGAGACGCTCAAGCCGCACAGGAGCGACTCTCGGACTGCTACAGGCAGTGGCGTCCCTGCCCTGGAGACCTATTAAAACCCAGGCTGCCGGGCATCCCCCCGGTTTCTGATTCAGGGTCTAGGGTGGGCCCGATGAGCTGCATCTGTGACAAGCCCCCAGGTGATGCTGCTGGTCTGGGGACCCGACTTTGAGAACCTCTCCGCCCTCTCCCCAGCAGGGAGGCTAAGTGGGGGCTGCTGCCTCCATCTGCCTGGAGGCCTCTCCCGCAGAGCCGCAGAAACGGAACCTGAGCTTAGAGCTAAAGGGGCCTGAGCTCCACTCACCTTATCCCGTTTCACCTTGATCTTCGTGGGGACGGGGACATAGGTGCTGCAGTTGGAGAAAGGAAAGCTGGTTAATGGCGGGGGCGGGGAGCTCCTGGGCATGCAGCTCCGGGAGGCGGGTGAGGCCTTGGCTTCTCTGGGATGCCTCCCCCTGCGCTGCCAGTCTGGCCAATCACAGACAGCAGAGGGCGATCTTGGCTCATTCGAGGCGTGCTATGCCCTCACTTCCCTGAAGGAGTGCGTGGGGCCCATGAGGCCCCCAGCGTCCGTCCCCACAGGCAGTGTGAGCCTCCTTGGCCTCCATGGCTGGCACTGACTCTGAGCTGGGAGGGCGACTGGGCCCCCACCTGCACCGGGCTTCATTCCCCTGCCCCGGGCTGTGCCTGAGGGTGCTGCCCTGCAGTCTCCTACACCTGGAGTCCCCGGGCCAGCTCTGCACCCAGAAACCTGGCCTAAGACGAGGGGCCATGGAAATCTGGAAACCGCAGCCGCTTGTCCTCGGGAAGAGTCAAGGACTCAGGAGTTGGAGCCAAGTGCGAGCACAGGCTGCGTCCGGTCAACCTCGAGCAAGTGGCGTGGCCAAGCTTCAGTTTCCTCACTGGGAGAAGGGAGCGAACAACAGTGGCTGCCGTGAGGCCTGATGCCATAACATGTGCCAAGGGCCCGCTGAGAGCACCGGAGGTCCTCCCTGTCCAGGAACTGCAAGGCCTGAGGCCACAGCCCGAGCCCAGTGCGGCCCTGGCCTTGGGGGCGGCGGCTGCGACTGCACTCCCCCTCCTCCCAGTGCAGTCTCACTCTGCAACTGGAAAAGCTGGGTGGGGGACAGCGGTGCCCACTGGCCTGGGGGAGGGGGCAGCGAGGTGGCTCGGGGGGACTCACTGGGAGATGGTGCCGGTGGTGGTGGCGCTCACCACCCACTCCAAGTCCACGGTCTTGAAGGGGACCAGGACCATGCTGACGTTCTCCCCCAGCTCCCGGAAGCTCTCGGGGTACACCAGGTGGTGGGTGGTCTTGCTCCCGACATCAGCCTCAAACCCCGCTGTGGGAGCCTTGTTCATCCTGGGAGGAGAAGGGAGAGAAAGCTGCACCTCGCGGCTCGGGCACCGGTCCTTGGAGAGCTTCAGCTCCACAAGCCCGCGGTGTGACCTCAGGGCAGTCACCCCCCGCCCTGGGCCTCGTTTTCCTCATCTGTAAAATGGGGCCCATCAAGATGCAGCTCGAAGGCTCTGGCGAGTTCCTTCTCTTCTATGACTCCACGAGAGTCTAACCGTCACCGCCATCGGCCACCTGTCGTGCAGAGTCGTATCCGGCAGGCATGTCGCAGTCCCTTTCTGCGGTCGAGGAAACCCAGCTCTGCCCCCCACCACAGACATCCCCACTGGATGCCAGGTACAGTGAGGCTCACAGAGGCCAGCTGAGTGGTCTGAGGACTAAAGTCAGAGATCACAGAAACCAGGGACTATTCTAGAAGGTTGCTGGGATGGGCTGCCCCACCCCTGCACTGCTGTTCGTCCTGGGGCACTTGTGAGTGGTGTGGTGGGAACTATGAGAAACCCAGGACAGACTTGGGGCACCTTCCAGGAATATCTATTTCACTCACTGGTGGGGAAAATATTTTTTACATTAAAAGCATATACGGTTCTATCGTGGCCTAGACGGCCAATGGTGATGAGCGTTAAAGACAAAACAAGAGTCTTCCCATCAGGCTGGCCCTCTCCCAGCCTCCCTGTGCCACGCTTGAGGCCCGCTGTGTATGGTTTCTTCTCTGCATCCAGAGAGGCCCTTCTAGTCCGTCCCATCCTGGAATGCAGAGATGGGGAAACTGAGGCAGGGAGGTGCCGCGAGCGGCCTGGGGTCCCTGGGTATGTCCAGAGACACCAGGACTGAAACCTGGACCTTCTGATCATGAGCCAAGGCACTTCCTCTCGCTCCAAGAGGCCCCTTCGGAGCAGCGTGGTGGGCTTGGGGCGAGGGTCCCAGTACCCACCTGAGCACAAAGTCGTGACTGTCTATCTCCGACCCGTATGAGGACTCCCTCAGGTTGCCAGAGTTGCCCACGACAGCACAGCGCCGGCAGCCCACAGACCGCTTCTCCAGCACGGGGTCCACGTTCCCAGGCACGACCCTGAACAGCTCCTTGATGGTATCATTCAAGTTATTGGGCTTCTTCTCCCGCTGGAGCCTCTGTGGGCAGAGGGTGGAAGGGGGTCAGCCTGGCTGTGCAGCCTCTGGCCGGCGGGCCTGGCTTCCTGTGGGTCACTGACTGGGGCCTCCCATGTGCCCTTCTTTCTGCTGGGCACCAGAGATGGAGGCAGCTCAGATACAGCTGCCCGACCCCGTCCTCTGGGGAGCCCAGGTGCTCCTCAGGGAGGAAAGAGGCCATCCATACAGGCTGCAAATGTTTACTGAGCACCTACTACATGCTAGGCACTGCTACAGCCACGTTGAGACTAGGCTCAGGTGACTGAGCTTGGATCTTCACATCTGGTCTCACAGGCCCCTCAAACTCAACATGTCCCAAGCAAAACTTGTCACCTTTCCTCCAACCTGCTCCTCCCTGGGGAGTCCCTCTTTCTCTGAAAGACCTTCCGCCTACCTGCGTGGGTCTCACCCCTGCCCTGCTCAGACACCAAGTTGAGGGGACTGTGTACCCTTTTTCATGCCTCAAGGAGAAGAGCAGGCAGTGGGTAGCGATGCCAGTTCTCCAGCCCCGGCCAGGACCAGGGTGCCTCTGTGCCACCTCCCCGCCCACCCCTCAGCTCCCCTAGCTCCAGGACCACTGGGCTCCAGTCAGACCAAAGAATAAGCCATTTGCCAAATGCACAAAGTCCTCTGATGTCTGCCTAGCAAATTGTTTTAATCTTATAAGGCCTAGCTCAAGGGTCAGCTGCCCTAAGACACCCACCCTGACCTCCAGGCAAGGTTGAACACTGGCTTTATCCCAAGGTGACCAACCATCCTGGTATGCCCAGGACTGAGGGGTTTCCCTAGATGCAGGACAAGCTGGTCACCCTATGGGTCCCCTCCCTGCATGGGCTCAGGTGGAGCTCGGGCCACACAGTGTAGTGACTGCCAGTTGACGCGTCTGCCTTCCTCATTCACAGTAAATGTGGAAAGGTTTCGTAAGAAGTGCTGCACCTAAGCCTGTCACCACGCCACAGTGCTACCGGTGAGGAAGGATGCTCTGGGGCTGGATGGGTTGAGTGACTTGCCCCGAATCCAAATCAGGCTTTGAACCCAGGCTTCTAGAAACCCACTTAACATTTCTCTAAAACGTAGCTACTGCCTCCAACCCTTGAAATCTTGACCTTCGGAAAGCCCAGCCCTGGAGTTAGGGCTGGGGCAGGTGGGCTGCAGGGTGACTGCCGTCAGCTAATCCCAGCCCCAGGGACAGGGGAGTGGCTGGGAGAAAAAAAAGTGGCTAGAGTGGCTTTGGCTACTACCAGGAGATTAGTGACCAGGGACATGCACAGGGAGATCCCTGGGGCACCCAGCTCCCCCTCGAAGGGAAGGAGCCAGAATCTCCCAAGGAGAGGCTCCCAGAAACCCGGACTGCTCCTCTAGGTAAAACCATGTGGCCCCTCTGGCATAAGGGAGGCGTGCCGTGGGGAGCAACAGGATCCAGATCACACGTCACACTCACTAGCATGTTCTAATTTTAAGAAATGGAAAATAACAAGTGTTGGTAAGGATGCAGGGAAAATGGGAACCTCATGCGCTGCTGGCGGGAAGGCAAAGCAGTGCAGTCATGGTGGAAAACCGTTCGGCAGTTTCTCAAAAGGTTAAATACAAAACTTCCATTTTCACTCTTAGGTATTAATTTTCACTCTTAGGTACTAATATATTCCCCAGAGAACTGAAAACAGAGACTCAGAGAGAAACTCACATGCTAACGTTCACTGCATTATTTCCAATAGCTAAAAAATGAAGGCCGGGCACTTGGCCCACGCCTGTAATCCTAGCACTCTGGGAGGCCAAGGTGGGAGGATTGCTTGAGGTCAGCGGTTCAAGACCAGCCTGAGCAAGAGCGAGGCCCCAACTCTATTAAAAAAAATGAAAAGAACCCAAGGGCCCATTAATGAATGAATGGATACACAAAATGTGACATGTCTATACAATACAATATTATTCGGCCACAAAATGGAATGAAGTACTGATTCACGCTACAACAGAAATGAACCTTGACATTATGCTACATGAAAAAGGCCAGACACAAAAAGACAAAATACAACAATGGCACTCACGTGAAATATCTAGAAAAGGCTAATTCAGAGAGACAGAAAGTAAATTAGAGGTTACTGGGGGCTGAGGGAGGGGGAAGGGGCAGTTATTGTTTAATGGATACGGAGCCTGCGTCTGGCTAATAGAAACCTTTGGGAAACAGCGATGATAGTTATATCACACTGAACATGTATTTAATGCCATGAATTGTACACTTATAAGTGATAAATATTATGTTACGTATATTTTACCACAGAAAACAATATCTAGATTAAATACCTGCTTTTTTTTTTTAGACAGGATCTCAGTCCTGTCACCCAAGCTGAAGTACAATGATATCATCATCATAGCTCACTGCAGCCTTGAACTCCTGGGCTCAAGAGATCCTCCTGCCTCAGCCTCCCAAGTAGCTAGGACTACAGGCATGCACCACCATGCCCAGCTAGTTTTTTTTATTAATTTTGTAGAGATGGGGTCTCACTGTGTTGTCCCGGCTGGTTTTAAACTCCTGGACTCAAATGATCATCCCACCTCAGCCTCCCGAAGTGCTGGGATTACAGGCGTGAGCCACCGCGCCTGGCTGCTAACCATCTGCTTCTGATAGGATCACCGAGGGCAGCTCCAGGCTCCTGACGTGCAGACAATCCCCTCGGGCCTTGCTAAGGCACAGGTCCTGACTCAGGAGGTTTGCGCTGAGGCCCAAGATCCTGCATTTCTAACAGGTGCTGCTGCTCTGCTCTTGGTGCGGGGACCATACTCTCAGACCGCTGAGGCAGGGGACCACAGCCAGGACCCCTGCAGGAGCCTCCGCAGAGATCCCCAACCAGCCAGGGCTGCTGTGAGCCCCAAGCTTGTGAAGACGTGCTCAGGCCACAGAGCACCCTCACGTTGTGCCATTGTCAGAAGGCAGCGTGGCACCGTGTGCTGATTAGGGACCAACATGGCATTCTTGTGTCCATCCTGCAGTGATACCCACTGAGCGCCTACTGGGCACACGCATGCACCGCCACGGAGGCCCCAGGGTTGAGCACACGAGGCCGGCCGGGACGCGTGTTGGTGGCATGTTGCATGGTTCGCCTGGTGTGAGCACACACAGCACATCGTCTCGCCTATTACTGACTATTTTTCTTTAATGACTCACTTAAGAAAACAAAGTGAGTTTATTTGAAAAGGAAACCTCACACGTCTACTACAAGTGGAAAGCAGGGATTACCTGGCAGACATAAAACAGTAATTGTACGATAAGATGAAGACAAAACAACCTCCTTTGGTTCCAGCTCTATTCTGCTGCTTGCCCAGGCAAGCGTCCTCTCTTTGTGAGAACAAGATTGACGGGTGTAAAGAGGTGCACAGCGGAACACCCGGCCAAATTAGAGTCTTTGCACGGCAGAGATGGAACAAGAACTAAAGCGGGAATCACTTCCTCGCTCTGCGACGCGATGCCCTGCATCTCTCGGCATCCATGCTCCACACTTCGGGGATCTCAGATGTGCTCCAGTCCTTCGGGGCACAAGGGGAGACTGAGGCCTGAACCCTGGAAGGGGCTCACTCGAGGTCATACAGTGAGTGTGTCAGTGGCAGAGCCGGGGGAGCCTGGGTGGGAAACTGAGTTGTGCCTCTCTGGATCAGCTCCCTGAACCTTCCATTCGCTAGCTGAGCCAGGTCGGGCAGGCCACTCCACGCAACATCACTGTTTTCCCTGAGAAGGAATATTCTGTTTTTTCTGCCTTTGGCAATGACAATAAAAATACTACAAGGCTACTGGTATGAACATAGGACATAATGTTAAGAAGTTCAAAGGCACCCTCCCTTTCCTTCCTAATGGGTTTCCAATACATGTTTCTGTATACAATTGGCACTTAATAAATGCCTGCTGACAGGTACAAGCTCCCTGAGGAAGTGCTGTGTCTTGGGTCGGCTTCCCTGGAAGCAGAGGCGGGGCAGGGATGCAGGTACCCACTGTGGGCACTGTCTGGAGAGGGATGGGGAAGAAAGGGTGTGGTCTGCAGGGCCTGGGGCAGGGGTGAGTGAGGCCACACAGTTAAGGAGGCATGTTCACTCTCCAGGAACCACCTGAGAGCAGGCACCTCCTTGAAGTTCGAGCCCTGGCTGCCTCCCTCGCCGCTGCACCCTGCACTTGGGGCTGATTGCACGGGTTGGGGTGGGCGTGGGAGTCTGGAGGGTGAACTGTGGCACAGTTTGTCCCGCCTTGAGGCACGATGGCTGGCCTCCTGGCCTCCTTCCCTCCCTCTATCGGTCATCAGTGCCTCAGGGCTGCACCCGTCCCCTGCAAGTGCTGAGAGGAGTCACATTCCCCCTCCTCCCTCCCTCACCCGGCGAAGCTGCTCCTACTTCCAGGTCCAGTGTATGACGCATCAGCTTCCGGGAAGCCTCCCACGGTCCCCTGAAACACTAGTCTCCGGCCTTAAGCAGGTGGATAGCACCGCTGGGGCCTCGCTGCGGGCCTTATTTATTTAGTTATTTGAGACAGAGTCTCACTCTGTCACCCAGGCTAGAGTGCAGTGGCAGCGTCACAGCTCACGGCACCCTCGAATTCTTGGGCTCAAGCGATCCCCTGCAGATCTACAGTTGCCGTTGGTCTGTCTGTCTGTCCCCTTCAGCGTCCAAGCAGCAGGCAGCGCAGGCATGCCACGCAGTACGTGCTTGATTCCACGTGTTTGCTGAGTGAGTAAGTGAACGCCGTCTGCTAGGGCTAACACACATTCATTCATTCAACCCAACACAGCTGAGTCCCGCCCACGCGCCAGATGCTATACGGAGTGGACAAGTCAGAGCTGGGACAGGCGGGGCTTGGAAAGGGAAGCCGGCATCGCCCTAACCCTTCAGGGCACGCGAACTACGCAATTCCCCAGACACCCCAGCCTGTAGCTGCCAGCTTCTCCCTGCGTCTGCCCTGACACCTCCTCTCCATGGCACCTTGAGGGGTAGCCGTGGGCAACGGAAGGAAAAGCAAAGGTGTCCTGGAGCCAGGGACCAAGTCCCAGGCCTGGCTCTGTCCTTCGGGGCTGTGTGACCTCAGTTGAGTCCTTAACGTCTCTGGGTGTCAGTCTCCCCACAGGGATGGAAAGTGGGAGAACAGGGCGTGGACTCTAGTTTATCTGCTCTAAGCCAGGCCTCTAATGTGGGTCTGAGAAAGCGTGTCCGCCCTCTGCTCCTGTGGGCACAAACCACCTTCTCGCAGCTGGCCTTCCCCCCAGGCTCGCGGCGTTTCAAAGGCAGGGACTTTTTTCTTCCGCTCAGAGGTCCTGCGGGTGGGGCCCTAAGTCCAGTTCCATCCATGAGGTCGTCCTGGCAGCTTTCAGGCTTTTAAAGAGAGCGATGGTGCAGCCTGGAACTCCGGGATGGTTTTGATGTCAAATATTCCGGGCCACCGTCCCGATTCTTTATTCAAAGCACGTGTCTCCAGATTGTGGGTTATTCAGAATCCAGAAGCTCCAAAGCCCTGCTCCTCCTTTCTGCTGATTCCCACAGAGTGAAGCCCTGTCCCTCTGCACTCAGCCTCTCCAAGCGGCTGCCCTGGGACCGGCCACCAGAGGCCGAACTTCAGAAAGGACTGCAGTTGAGGAAGGGCTGGGCTGGCAGTGGGGTAGGACATTCGATAAACTGGTAACAGCCACGTGGAAACAGATTCCACCTCAGTGCTAAAACAATGCAATTCAGCAGTACTTGCACATTAAACCAGCAAAAATAAATGCAACTGCTAAAACTAATGTTTGCAGTGTTGTAGGGAAACCTGGTGACGTGACTACTATCCCTTCCATTTACAGAGATGGAATTTGAAATTCAGTGAAACAAGAGGTTCTTCAAAGTCACACTTAATAGGACCTAGAAAATCAGGGATAAAACCCAGGGACCCGATGCCAGGGCTGAATTTCTAAGTCTTTGAAGATACACAGGTCATATCAAGATCCTTTTTCCCTCTTATACTTTTTCATCCCTCTAGGGCTAAATCAGTCTTAAATTTTTAGAAACTGCCCTCCCTGAGGACCTTGGAGAAGAAAGATCATATCACCCCGGTTACCCATTCTAATAACTGTTTTTAATAAAGTCTTTATAGGGGCTGGAACTGGTGTGCTGTTTGGCACAAGTCACTTAACTTTTCTGAGTTTCAGTTTCCTAATCCGCAAAATGGGGATAAGGGCCCCCAAGTTCCTCCTTTATCTGCTGATTGGCAGGGTCCCTTCCAGCCTGGCCCACGCCCAGGCTATGTACACATGCTTTTGTCCCTAAAAAGCCTCTGCAGGCAGAATCCCACGGTGACACTGAGAATCATAGATTCAAAGCTCTGAAGGGGAAGACTGGAGTTAATCCTGTCCCTCCAACTGTGGTTATGGGGGAATCTGAGACCCAGAGGGGAGAAGGGATACGTGTGAAGCCACCTCTGCCATCAGTGTCTCCACTTCCCAATCACGGTGGCTCTCAAGCGCGGGGGACTTTGCACATGCGCACACACACAACCTGCCTGGGACATCTGACAACATCTGGGGACATTCTGGCTGTCACAGCTGGGGACCGAGTGATCGTGGCATTTAGTGGGTAGAGATCAGGGCCACTGCACAATGCACTAGACAGGCCCCCATGACAAGAGCGATCCGGCCCCAAATAACCTGGTGCCGAGGCTGAGACCCCACCCTAACCCTTACCATGCTTGGTCCACTGCCTCCTTCACCAGACCCTCCAATCTTTGAGAAGGCAAAGACCCTGCCTGTCCCCGGGACCTGCACACAGAGATGCTCAACACAGATTGACCATCCAGGATGTAGCCCAGTCATCTGACTCACAGCCCATCACTTTCTACCCTTCCAAGTCTCGCGCACATTTTCTGTTCATTTCAAATAAACAGTAAGCTCCTCTGGTGCAGGGATTACTTAAAGAAAATGCTGTTTGGGGAAGTCTGCCTCTTGCAGGAAGTCTCCCTGGTTGTCTCAGCCTCCCTCAACTCTGTCTTCTCCTAGCAATGGCATGTGCAGGATGTCAGGAGCTGCAGCAACGGCCCCATCCACAGGTGGGTTTCAGCTAGGATGCTCCACCTCCACCCCACACATGCGTTCTCATGCCTCCAGCCCATAGGCTGGTCCCTCGGCCTGGAGCGTCCTTCCTCCAGAATCCATCTGGATAACCTCTCCGAATCCTTCATGCTGAGCCTGGCCAGCACCTCCTCCAGGAAGCCTTCCCTGATAGCCCCAGACCGCAAAGGGGGTCAGACGTAGCACCTATCACCCCAGCTTGGGATTGTCTATTTTCCCTTCTCTCTGCCACGCCTGCAACCCAAGAAGGGGAAGATTGTCTTTTCCATCTCAATACAGCAGTGCCTGGCATTTACTAGGTACTCAGTAAATAAGGAATGAATAGATATTTCTTGCTCCCTTCAATCTATTTTGCATTCAACAACCATAATGACCTTTCAAATGGCTACACCAGATCGTGGAAGTCCCTGATAAAAATTCTACAGCGGCCTCCTGTTGCACTAAGAACAAACCCCAGTCTCCTCGCCTGGGTGGCGCCCACTCTCAGACCCCTCTCCTAGTGCCTCGCCAGACTCACGCCCCCACCCCCCACTAGCCCCCCAGAGCTTTCTACTCCTCCAACACACCCAGCTGATGCCACCCAGGGCTCTGCACCCTTGGGCCTGGGACCCTGCAGCACATTCTCTGTATGTCCCCAGGGCCGGTGCCTTCTCTGCCTTTGGGTCTCAACCCAAGTCCTGTCACCTCAGAGACCCCCAAGACCACCCCATTTTCAGAGGCCCCCTCTCCAGTGTCTCACTATCACAAACCTCATCCGCTCTTCCTCAAAGCACTTCTGCCTGAACCTACCTTGTCTGTTTCTTATCTGTCTTTCCTGGCCAGGTAAAATTCCATGAGAATAAGGATTTGATTCACTTTCACATTTCGATACCCGTAGTGGGTGAAATAGTGGCCCCCCAAAATATATGTCCAAGTGCTAGACCCCCAAACCTGTGAATGTGATCCCATTTTCACAAAGATCCTCTGCAGATGGACTTGTTAAGGATCTCTAGATGAGTCAACCTGGATTCAGGATGAACCCTAAACCCAATGGCAGGCGCCCTCCTAAGGAACGGAGAGGGAGGCTGAGACAGAGGGGCAGGCCATGCGAAGGCAGGGCAGAGACGGAGTGATGCAGCTACGAGCCGAGCCATGCCAACGATTGCCAAGGAGCGCCAAAGATTGCCAGCAGCCACAGGAGCTAGGGCAGAGGCATGGGCCGGATTCTCCCCCAGAGCCTCCAGGAGGAACCGACCCTGTCAACAGCTTGATTTTGAACTTCTGGCCCTCAGAACTCTGAGAGAATACACTCCTGCTGCTTGAAGCCACCAAGCTTATGGCCATCTGCTATGGCAGTCACGGGAAACTAACGCAGCACCTCCTGCTCTCACGTATATGTAACAGGTCCTCAATAAACAGCTGCTGAATGAACAAAAGGACAATAATCTGAATCCTGCTAAATGCCCGACAGGGCCCAAGAACACACTGGGGACAGAGTATTTGGGTCCAGGGCTCCCCTCCCGGCCCCCCGCCCAGCCCCGATCCCACCCTCAGCCCCGGGTCTCACCAGCCACCATCTGTAGGTTTCCTCCTCCAGGAGCGCGTTGCGCGCCGTCAGCAGCGGCTGCATGGTCTGGTTGAACCTCTCGTCGAACCAGACGGAGACCCTGCGCTGGCCGACGCAGTGGGCGCAGGTGCAGGGCCTGTGCTTGATGAGCTTCCTCAGGCTCTCCGAGAGCTCCATGACCATCTGCTTGGGGAACCAGGTGGTGGCCACCATGGTGTGGGAGTAGTTGAGGAAGAAGGAGGTGAGGAAGATGAAGAGGATGAGGAAGGTGAGCACTTTGAGGGTCCTCTTCCTCGTGGTCACCATCTTTGCTACCTGGTGGGGCCTCCCTGTGACGGGCCGGAGGAAATCCCTCCTGACTGAGGAGCGAGAAGAAGAAAAATCCCGGAGATGGAGACTCGATCAGCAGGGACGGCGGAAATTCCCAGGGGGGAGACTCAAGAGCTGCTGGGGCCAACCTCACTCCCGCCGGGGCACGGCCACCCTTGTGTCCCCGACATCACTGTGTGGTACGCGAAGGCCATTCATGGTGTGTTGGCTCTGCTGGCGTGTATCTGTCTTTTCAGAAAATAAAGTAGCCGACTTCTGCAATCCTAAAGAGCTGATAATATCTCTTGACGAAGCTTTAATCAGTGATTTCCTTTCCCATCCAAAGGGGTCGAGTGGTCATTAATCTTTGTGACAATCCAGGGTCTCTCGAGGGTGAGGCCTTTGAAAGAAGGGTCTTTGCCACCCCCCTCCGCAAAACGTGGTTTGCAATGATCCTTAATTAGAGCTTTGTGTTTCCCGAGCTGCCGCCAGAGATGTGGCGGTTAAGCGTCCAGCCTGATGAAGGCAGAGGGTTGGCTGTCTGTCATCTGCACAGAAAAGGAGGAAAAAACAGGGTGAGATTCTGTGACCTTGCTATAGCAAACTATTTCTCTCTCCACACCTCCACCAGGATGCATGCCATGGTCTTCTCCTCTGGTGTCAAACCAATGTGGCAGGTGACTCTGCATGACTTACTTGTCTTCTAGAATCTCAGTGTGTATGTGTGTACAACAGGATGTTATCGTCCATTTACAAGGTTGCTAAGGGGCACAGAAGGTGTCCCTTCTGTGTTTTCTACAACCAGAACTTGGGACACTTAGGAAATTCAACGAATATTTGTGAGATCAGTCAGCAATGCATACATGGTGCGATGTACACAGGGATTGTTAAATACGTGTTACTTCTCTCTCTCTCCTTCATTCTCTTCGGGATTCTAAATTTCAGCAACAACAAAAATGGTAGGCTTAGGGAGTGGCCCACCTACCCAGGCATTCAAGCTCCGCCAATTAGCCCCAGTTCCACAGAGGGGCTTTAGATGGCCCAGGTTCAATTTCTGGTTTACCAGCTGTGTGGCCTTTGGAAAGGGATTTGATCTCCCTGGCGCTCAGTTTCTTCTTCCGTAAAATGGGATAGTAACATTCCTACATATAGAATGGCTATAAAGATAAGATGATGCACGCCGAGCTTCTGGTATCTGCTGGGCAGTGGCTGAACTTTAATTTGCCTTTATTAATCTATGAATGAATATTTTTTGATGATCCCCTAAGAGTTGACAAGATGAATACATTCATGCATATCTATCTTCTCAGATAATCCTCCAAATATACTGTCAGCTAGTTACTAGTTTCCTTCTTTGTCTTGTAAGAAACTCAGACTCAAAGAGATTAAATGATTTGCCCAAGGTCATGGGGAAAGGAGGAAGCAGGATCTGACTCCAAATCCATAGCCCTCCGATTTCTTTCACCTAGCGTGGTCGGGGACCAGGAATAAGGGGTTGGGGGCTCTACCCTGGAGCTGACGCCTGTCTTGTTAACTGGTCTTCAGATGCCCACAGTTGAAAGGATACAGACAAAAGGGAGTGTATTCCACCAGAGAGAGCACACAGGACGTCTCAAACACCCACAACACAACCCCCAGACCTCACTGGCTTCCTGGGGCTTCTGCACAGTGCAACGGTGCTCACACCTCTGCACTTGAGCGTGGCGTCTCTGGCCTTTTCTTGGAATGCTTCCCCACCCCCACTTGTCTGATCGATTGCTCCCCATCCTCAAGGTGTAGATCGCCAATGAGCAGGGTATGTTTTTCCAGGAAAGTGAGAGTTGAAGGGAGATTGATTACCTTCTGGTAGAAAGTGGGGCAGTTCACAAACCAGGTTAAATCCAGAGCCTTTTTGGAGACATTCAGAGCTTGAAGTAGGCTTGATGCAGCCCCTTACAGCTTCCTGAACCGCAAGCCCAGCGTACGCAGCTCAGCTGGCAGTGCCATTTTGCTCTGGCCCCTGCCTACTGCTCCGTTTCTCACTTCTCAGGATGACCTGGCTTGTACTTATAACCTAGTGGTGTCCACAGGTGTCCCATCCACTTCTCCTCCCATCTTCCCCATCAAGGAGCAGCTGTATCATTTGAGTTAGATTAACCTCCATATTGTCACAGGTGGGCTCTGACTTCACTCGGCTGGCAGGGGGTTCCCAGCCCTCTTACCCCAGTAATTGGTCCAGGGATGGGCATGTGTCCTAATTCATCCAGTCAGAGTGAAACCCCAGACTTCTGTAGGAAGGGAAGAAACTTTCTTTTGCTCTGGCTGGTTTGTTGCTTAGTTGTGATGTATCATGCTGGCCATTTTGCAAGCTTGTGTGGCAAATATTAGAGCTGAATGAGGCCCAGACAAATGGTGTTAACACCCTGATCTAGCCATACCTACAGCTCGCCCTATCCCTTGACTTTTCAGTTACATGAGAAAATAAATCCCCTTTATTGTGTAAAACAGTTTATCTGTAACTTGAAGCAACATGACTGACTCACAGGTCAGAGTCGCTCCTGCCTCTGCGCCCCTGCCCAGGCTGTCCCCACCACCCAGAAAATCCATCCCACACAGTTTGGCCCATGGCTCTTACTCATTCTCTAGGGCTCAGCTGGTGCCAACTCCTGGAAGAAGCCCTGCCGACCCCTGGGGCGAGTTAGGGGCCTCTCCTGGCTCCGCTCTGCCTGCACTGTTTGCTGTCTTCCCTGGACTGGGAGCAACGTGAGGACAGAAACTCAGTCTCACCACGGTGGTGGCCCTGTCACCCAGCACACGCTTGGTGCTCAGTGGAGGCTGGTGGCACGACGGAACGCAGAAATGAATGAAGGGAAGTGCGAGGGCCGACAATTCAGAGGGAGAACTGAGCAAGACAGCACAGACAGGAAACTGCACCCCGCTGTCCACCTGTGACCCTGCTCAAGGCACCTTACGCTTCTGACCTGTCTCTTCAAGTGGAACGTGGGGCTGATAACACGGACTCCACCTGCTTCTCAGGGCTGCCGACCCATCGAGGTGTGTCCCTTCACCCCGCGCACTGGCTGCGTACGTGCTGGTCCCTGCGGCATTCCAGGTCCCGGGCGAGCTGGTTGCGATACACCGTGAGAGGCTCTACGGTGAGACTCCCAGGCATCAACAGGAACCCAGAGCCTTCCGGAGAAACAAGGCTGGGGTGGCCAGGTCAGAGGAAGTGTGAAGGGGAGGGGAGGTGATGGGGTGAGAAAGGACACAGGCACATGGGTGGCAGGAGAGTGTGTTGGGCCGCAGAAGCCACAGTCAAGACTGAGTTTTCTATGAGTGACACGGAAACCCACTGGAGGGCTGAGCAGGGGAGTGACACAGCCTCACCAGATTTGTCTTTACAATGAGCAGAACCCAGGATGCCCTCGCTGACTGCACCCGCAGTGCCAGGGCAGGGACAAGTTCCCTTAAACAGAAGACTGGTGGGCCTGTCGATCAAACAAGGCTCTGCATGAGAAGTTGGGTTCCCCACGACGCCCTGCTCTGTGTGGGGTATCAGAGCTCTGGGCCGACGCTAGGATGGGTGAGAGCTGGGACAGATGGCAGGGCTCAGCTGCAGAGGCCGTGGGCCTGTGACACTCTCCTCCCCTCTGGGGCACCCTATAGCTGCATCTCTGAGGCCAGGGTGCCTGGGCAGATTCCACTACCAGCCGAGGCTCCTGGGCTGGTATCAATTAGCACTTTCGAAAGCCCTGGAAAAAACTGCAATGGAAAGGCTGGAACACCCCCTACCCCTTCCCAGGCCGCAGGGAAGAAAGGAGGACTGCCTGACTTCCCTGCGCTCTACCAAGTGCCAGGCAGCCCGCGGGGCATGGGGACGCCAGCCCTGGCTCCCACAAGTGGAACCCAGGCCAAGACGCCCCGGGCCAAAGATCTCTGCATGCCAAGTGTGCGTAAGCAGCAGGAGGTGCCTCCCAAAACAGAGGGGAAGAAGACAGGGAGGGGAGAGAACAGGAGAACGGGGAGGGGGAGAAGCTGCCTTTGCAGATTGGCAGTCCTAGTCATCTCCCCAGCACATGCTGGAATGCCGGAGGAGGCACAGAGAACGTGCCCGTCACAGAGTCTAACGGGGTCACCAGCACAATACTGACAAATGTCAGCACCCTTCTGAGGACTCGGAAAGTGAGGATTTCCCTAAGGAGGGTCTCAGATGAAGACAAACCCCCCTGGCAATAGGGAGTTGGGGCAATTACCAGCGACTGAGAGAACCGTGTGAAACTCCTGGAAGTGAAATGAATGACCCACACATGGGTTTGAGGCTGTAGTAAATACCTGCTAATGGTGTGGTACATGTCCTGGCTGCTGGAGGGATGCCTGGGTGAACCACACAGGCAGTTGGCAAAGTCATGCTTCTAACAGAGCAGCCACAGTTCCCCCATGTGACCCTCAATCCACCAGGTGAGGTGGGTGAAATGGGAAAGTGAGGTCCAGAGAAGGCAAGTGACTTATCCAAAGTCACACAGCGATATGGTGGCAAAGCTCTTGCCTCCTGGGGCTTTCTGTGTAGCCATGGCTGATCATTCTACTTCACCAACACCTGCTCTCATCTTCGCCGTTTCTTTCCTCTTTTGGGGGCGTTCGGTTTATTGTTTTCTTTCCAGTTTCTTGAGACGGATACTGACGTGTTCACCCTCTCTTCTGCTGTGCCTACGCTATCTGAATTACATACTAAGTATATAATATATTCTTCATTCCAGTTGTATTTTTTAGGTCTAGAATTTCCATCTAATTTTTTTATAGGTTTAGTTTTCTGGTGAATGTCTCCATCTTGTCATCTAACTTCTTGCAATTATTCATCACAGCTATTTTCGGGTAACATGGGTCTCCTTCTATTGTCTGTTCTTCCTCTCTCTCTTCGGTCATATGGTTCTGTCTCCCGGCATGCCTGGTTGCTGTCGATATTATTGTATCTATGACATGAACGTAGAGGCTCTGCACAAGGCTGTCCTCATTCAGGGAGGACTGGCTGTCTCCTGGGAAGGAGGGACGGCCAGTGCATATTACCTTGTTCCAACTGGGTTTGTGTTTCACTTTTCACGATGACTGGTCTGTTTCTGGTCTGCTCGACCCCTAGGCACAGTTCTTCGCAAAGGACAGCCTGGGACGCCTATCGAGGCGCCTTCTGCTTACAGGATCCCATCTGCAATTTCTGTCTCCCCTGCACTGAAAGATCACCATAAGCTGAGTTTAGCTTTTTAGACTTTCAGTTGTTTTCTGCTTGGTTTCTTAGATTCTGGACCCATGCAACATAAATACTAGCAAATGCCTTGAAAGGCAAAAAGAAAAAAAGCACGGAACACAAGCTCTTTTCTCTGTGGTTCCCTTCACTGTAGGTTCTTGGTCCCTTGGGTTCTGGCTGACCTAGTGGTCCTGAACTCACTCACTCAGTCTACCTACCTACCTACTTACCTACCTACATACCCGTCCCTATTTGCTCCCCATCCCTGTGAGGCTGCCAGACACTCTGCACTGCTTCTCTCTGCTCGTCCTCCGGACCCTCTACCCTCTT